ATATATATCACAGACTAAGTATCATTTACAGTGATGAAAAACATGACGTTTTGCTATGATTTGATTTTGTTATTTTAATATACATGAGGAAAAATGATTCGCTGCAATTTGCCACAGATTATAAATGCTCTAAATTTCTAATATTACTATTACATCAGACTCGGAAAGAAGTATTCACATTGGCGATCCCTCAGATACTAAATGTTCACACACTAAAATATTCACCGAAAGTTTTACCACAGTCCCTCCACACTGTGTTGAGGGACTCGGACTGTGATTTTACACACAAAAATGATCTATTGAACTCTACTGAGAAAACTGTTTTTAGCGCGCAAATAATTCTTTAGCATATTATCTGTTTGGCATAGTACTAATATTAGCTTATATCGATCATGTGATTATGTTTAAAGTGGGAGGGTCGTCACCTGCGCACGCGAAGATAACAACACACACTAAAATGCAAAGGCACCTGGGTAGAAGGCCATCTAGCGCGTGCACAGGTGATGACTCCCCGCTTTGAGTACTTGAAGTTCCAAAATTAAACAATTTATCAAGATTGGTATAGTAATCGGTCTGTATAGTTTTGTAACTACGTAGGCATCCATGGACACGTCGCCAACCAAATGTACAAGTGCCACTGCTATGGTGTGAGTATTAAAGGGCAGTGGTCGTCGCGCAGCGCGTGTTCGAATTTCATGTAAACAAACAATGTATTTTACACGCGTTGCGTACGTCGCTATGAGTCTCAAGTCGAATAGGACGACGCACCGCCCTTTGACAATGAAGGGGTGCCATTGACACAATCTTTAATAAATAGCGCACATAAATATCGGAAATGTGGACGACATCGCGCGTTAGGGCGTGTTGTGTTGAATGGATTTCCATTTGTAATTTGACCCTAATATTTATTTTAATTTATAACATTATTATACAGCACACCACAGTCCTCTATTTGTGACCACAAATGGTACTGTTTCTATATACGCGTCTTTTAAAATGTATTCAATATGTATAGGAGGTGACAGTTCTATGTGCTAACATACCAGTACAGCAGTACACCATAGTCTGTCATCAATAAACGTAGCGTCAATCATTTTGGAACAACTTTTCAAGGTATGTCTGTTTAAAACATGCATTCGCGTCAACATTTTAGACGAGAATTACGTCTAAATCTTGTCCG